CTCTTGTCTCTCTCTCTCTTGTCTCTCTCTCTCTTGTCTCTCTCTCTGCTCGCTCTATCTCTTTCTCTTCTCTCTCCTCTCTCTCCTCTCTCTCTCTATCTTCACTCTCTCTCTCTCTTTCTTCTCTCTCGCTCCACACGCTCTCTCTACTGCTTCACTCTCACTCCCTCCCTTTCTTCACACTCTCCTTCTTCTCCCTCTTTCTTCTCTCTCTCTCTCATTCTTTTCTCTCACTCTCTTTCTTCTCTATCTCTCTTTCTCCTGGCTCTCTTTCTTCACACTCTCTCTCTCTCTTCACTCTCTTTCTTCACTCTTTTTCTTCTCTCCTTCTTTCTTCTCGCTCTCTCTTTCTTTCTTCTCATTCTCTCACTTTCTACTCTCTCGTCCCTCTCTCTCTCTCTCTCTCTCTTTCTCTCTCTTCTCTCTCTCTCTTTTCTCTCTCTTTCCTTCTTCTCTCTCTGACTCTTCCTTCTCTCTCTCTGTTTCATATCTCTCTCTCTTTCTCTCTCCCTTTCTTCTGTCTCTCTCTCTGCTCACTCTATCTCTTTCTCTACTCTCTCTCCCTTTCTTCTTTCTCTCTGTCTCTTTCGTCTGTCTCTCTCTCTTTCTTTTCTCTCTTTCTTCTCTATCTCTCTTTCTTCACTCTCTTTCTTCTCTCTCTCTTGCTCTTTCTTCTCTCTCTCTCTGTTTCATCTCTCTGTTTCCTCTCTGTTTCTCCTCTCTGTTTCTCCTCTCTGTTTCTCCTCTCTGTTTCTCCTCTCTGTTTCTCCTCTCTGTTTCTCCTCTCTGTCTCTCTCTCTCTGTCTCTCTCTCTCTGTCTCTCTCTGTCTCTGTCTCTCTCTCTCTGTCTCTCTCTCTCTGTCTCTCTCAATCTCTCTCTCTCTCTTCTCTCAATCTTCTCTCTTCTCTCTCGCTCTTTCTCCTCTCTTTCTCTTTCTCCTCTCTTTCTTACTTCTCTACCTCTCGCTTTCTTTTCTCGCTCTCGCTTTCTGCTCTCGCTTTCTGCTCTCGCTTTCTGCTCTCGCTTTCTGCTCTCTCTCTCTCTCTCCTTCTTCGCTCTCTCTCCCATTCTTTTCTCTCTTTCTTCTGTATCGCTCTTTGTTCTCTCTCTCGCTCTTTGTTCTCTCTCTCTATCTTCTCTTTCTTCTCTCTCTCTCTCTATCTTCTCTTTCTTCTCTCTCTCTCTATCTTCTCTTTTTCTTTTCTCTCTGTATTTGTCTCTTTCTTCTCTCTGTCTCTCTCCTCTCTATCTTCTCTCTCTCTGTCTTTGTGTCTTTCTTCTCTGTCTCTGTCTTTCTTCTCTCTTCTCTCGCTCTTTCTTCTCTCTCTCGCTCTCTGTCTCTCTCTCTTTCTGTCTCTCTCTGTCTCTGTTTTCACTCCCTCCCTCTCTCCTCTCTCTTGCTCTCTCTTTTCTCTCTCTCTTTCCCTTCTCTCTCTCTCTTCCTCTTCTCCTCTCTCGCTTTCTTCTCTCTCTTGCTTACTTCCCTCTCTCTCGCTTACTTCCCTCTCTCTCGCTTACTTCCCTCTCTCTCGCTTACTTC